CCTATGATTAAATTAGAAATTCTTGGTAATTTATCTTACAAATCAAATGTTTCTGCGCTGCGTCGTCCAAATGAAATAGTTTTCTTAATCCTAAAGGCTGTTTCACTGAATCAGAGTTTGAGGCTGTCATATCAAGTCACATGTGAGCTTACACACGAGTGCGCAGTTTATTTCTGATTTACTAAAACCTGTGTACGATATTGGTGTACACTACTATAGTTCAATATTTGTTTCGCCTGTGTTTTTCACTTTTTATGAAGTATTTTTGTCTTTTTTGGTGCCCTTACCTTGGCAGAGGATCTCTACTCCATGTACTTCTGAATGAAAAAGAAAAGGTGCTTCAGTGAGTTTAATATGCTGAAAAAAAAGTTGTATTTATTTGCATTGGATGTTCAAATTATTTCAAAGATGACAACATGATGTGTGCCAGTTGCATCAGCCTTCAGTTCTTTACTTCTGCAAGTTGAGTCTGTCGTGACCTTTTTCTTAAACAATGTTATCCAGATGTTAGGCGTTTTTACGACATGCCCAGGTCATAGAGGACCTTGTAAACATCTAACAGTCATATAGTGACTCAGTAAAGGTGTCGCTTTGGAGGCTGAACTTAAAACCAAATTCTGGTACACTGTATTTCGGTTTTTCCCCTTCAACACTGACGCGTTAAACAGCTTAAGACACAGGAATTCGGCAACATTTACTGTAATATCTCTGGTGCAGTCATGCATCTCCGACCCAAAGACACAAGCAGTGGTATGACAGAAGTTAATCTCCTGCCATATGTGCCTGGTCAAAGAACGGAGCTGCTGGATGTTGGCTGAACTTGAAAGGAAACCCCGGTGGTCTTTTCTTTTTGACACATTTTGACCAATGTGGAGCAATTATCCTCCATCTGCAGTATAATACAACATTTACTGTTTGATTGATGATGCTTTTTTTTTTTTTTTTACATTGACTTTGGCTTCCTTGCCCAACCAAGCAAATTCCCCTCTTTTAGTTGTCAATGTTTTTTTCCACTATGCAGTATGTGGTGCATTCAAGAATGACCGACTGCAGAGGCCTCAGGGTATTTCAATCATTTCTCTGTTTCTCTTTCTGGTCCATTGGTAATCCTGCCTTCATGGGTTCCTCATACACTGCACATTCTCTCTCCATATACCATCATTTATTTCATCATATCCTATTTCAATCCCGTGTTTCTGAACATTTAAATGGCTTCATTTAAAAATACGAGGAAACAAACTACAGTTTTCTGTTTAAAAATTAAAAGACAAATTGTACTAAAGTACGGAAGCCCTAAGTGGACATACATCCATACATTTCATTTTACTCAGTTTTCCGCATGAGATGAAATATTGGGAGATTTCTCATTTTTGTCGCTATCTCAGGATTTAAAAAAAAAAAACCTGGTGTTCCCGTGATTATGAGTAAATGTCCTGAGATCTCGAGAAAATGACAGAAATTAACTAATAATCCTCTAGAGAAATCAGTGTTGTCTTTATGATATTGGAAAAGTCTACAGTTTTCCAGAAACAATGAAAATGTTCACGTTTTCACAGGGAAAATTGGAGAATAAAATATATGAACGCATGTCCTAAAAGCGTTCAACTGACCTAACACAAATATAACTGCATCGCTATTGCAGCATTTGTGAAAAAGGACACACAGCATATGAACTTTGAAAAATACTTTCAGATTTCTTCACTTTCTGTTTAAATATTTTTCCTAGATAAAGAATATTTTACCACATATATTTGTCAAGGTGTGCTTTAGTTGGTATGGAGAGGTCACGAGCTAAACCGGATTTTTAAACCATGTTTTTTCTCAACATATTTTCTGCATGACTCCACAGAGCAAACGTCCCACCGTGCCTGGAACAACTTTTTTTTTTTTGCTACTATTTATGTGTAAAATACTGCTAATGCTGATTTGATGCCCCTGTTGTCAGGGTCAACATACAGATTTAAAACCTGCTGTCCTTCAGATTCTTTCAGCGCTGTGTGGCCTTTTAACCAGGACCTGGAGGAGTCGGTGGGCGCTGATTAAACCCTGAGTGATATAAACCCTCTCCACTTGTAACAGGGAGCCATTGTGCCTAATCCCCCCCCCTCCCCCGACCCAAACCAGATTTTATACAAGCCGAGGCCCGGCATCTATCAGACAGCTCAAAGTTTGCGAGCTAATCTCGAGTATTCCTTTCAGCGCCAAGCATTTCATTATGAGCTATACAGTAGCGCCGCTACTCCACTGAGGTTAATGAATGCAAACCTATGCACTAGAGTTTCAGACTTTTTAGTGAATGGTAGAAAAGGGAACACTATGTTGTGTAATTCAGCTGTGCTTAATGAGCTGAACTTCTGTAGTGTAAGTTTATGAGAAAAGATGCTAACAAGGGGCGCTGGTGGCGCAGTGGTTAGTGCGCACGCCCCATGTACGGAGGCTCTCGTCCTCCAAGCGGGCAGCCCAGGTTCAAATCCCACATGTGGCTCCTTTCCCGCAGGTCATTCCCTACACTCTCTCTCCCTGATTTTTCCATATCTCTCCATTAAAAAAAGACACAAAAAGTCAAAAAATAAATCTTTAAAAAACAAAAAAAAAGATGTTAACAATAGAAGGCGAAGCTAACGCTTAGCTAACGTTCAAAAGTTACAAAGATTCCACACAAAAGGTTCCAATTTTTAAAACACAACGGTAGAGTAACAAAGCTAGCACTGCAACAAACACAGAGCATAGACTTGATAATCACAATCTGAAAGTTAAATCAACCGTCCTGTTTGGTCGAAACAATCTCCCAAAACGGGGGCGTAACTATATCTCGCAATGCAATTTAAAAAAAGCAAAACAAATGTGTACAATTTAAATCGCTTTTACAAAAAATATAAAGTGCAATACTCACTTTAACCCGCAGAGGGCGCTGTTTTTCCTTTCTAATTAAAACAGTAGTAGATGAGAATGTCACATCTGTAAAGGAAAAATGTGCAGTGTTTTATTTGCAACTATACAACAAAAGTGTAGTCTATGTATATGGATTAACATATCATGACTTTTACATTTATTATTTAGCCTAGTAAACAATTAAACAGTAAGGAAAATTGAGATTTTGAGTTTTTATTCTATTTATTCTTAAATTCACTTCAGTCTCATTTTTTTGTGAAAATCAGAAATCCGGGAAAAAAATGTGAGCACAGAATCGTAATATGTATCGTAGAGTGAAATGAGTTTATTGATACGTCTCTACCCCAAAACTCACAGAACACCAAGAAACCAGCAAGGTCATTTAACAAGCAAGAACCAGTGAACATTTAGCATTTTTTATTAATATCATATGACTTAGTCAGAAATCATCTAAGGGTTTAAGTTCTATCATCTTGTTTCAATTTGATTAGTTGAATTTTTGTGTCTTCACTTTATTCTGAAAATCCTTTGGAGGGATTTGGCTTGCTGTCATCTTTGTGTTTATTTCTTCATGTTACAATGTCTAAATTTTTAATACGACTTAAAAAATATATTTCAAGATTTTAACTGAATTATCAGTACTTAAGATGAAAGAGTAAAAAATGATGATATGCGCTGTATTGTACAGTACTGCTGCAGTATGGCTGGTCTGTCTGCAGCCAAAACTTAGATCAGTTATTGGAGCATACATAATGCAAAGAAAACAAGCATTTACAACCACACAGCCTGAGGATAAAACACAAAGAAGAGTCCGAGGCGTTTGAACTCATTGCTGATGTTAAGACACATTATATGGATGTCAAGTCAGAGCGGAAACCAGGTCATGATTTTAATTTACAGACTGACATCTCAGTGAATCGGAGGAGAGGGTCGCTGGAGTCTGTCTTCATTATAGACTGTGAGTTGTTCCAATTAGACAAAGCATGCATACCTATTTTTAAAAAAACAAGAATGCCCCCTCTTGTCCAAGCATCACCACACCCCGTTTGAAGCATTAAGCTGCGGGATATACTGAGAATAGCTATCTTAAACCTTTAGGCTGTGTGGTGTGACGCTTTAGAGCAAATGTTCATCCCTGACCTGCGGAAATATGTCTGATTTAGAGATGTTTCAAAGGATTATCCAGGCAGCTTGGAGGGTATCCCTGTGTTCCTCATGAAAGTCAGTGGCTTTTCATTCTCACTGTGAGCTCTTGTACAATTCAGGATGTTTGTTTGAAAGGTTCAGAGGCTTTTCTCTAGTTAAGCTAGCCGTGTGGCTCTGTGGAAAGAAATGTCAGTCTGTTGGAAGGCGCAAGACCAACACCTTCCATTTGATGCACTAGATGTTCACCTCGCCCTGCCATCGATCTACAAATGTACATTTTCAGATCATTTTTGGTTTATGACTGAATCCTGAATCCTGAAATTATTAATTAATCTCTAGTTTAAAGGAGTAGGAGTAAAAAAAACAAAAAAAACAATGCACATGCTGACTCAGCTTCAGCAATGAATGAAACATTGCAAGACAACAGAAAACATATGGTAAGCAAGGGCTAATGGGCAAACTCCCAGAGGGCCAAAGTGGCTAGTAATTGGAACATAAGTCATGATTATGTCAGAAGTGACAATGTTAACAGCTAAAACAGATGTCCTCCTTGCCCCCTTTGTCATGTGATTATTCAGATCTGGGGCTGGAAGCAGAGTTAAAGCTGTGAGTGAACTAGTAGGGTTCCATTTGCAGTTTAAATAATGAAGCAAGATCACAGCGTGTGCTGTTCACACATCAGCCAATCGGCATTAAAAGACTAATTCCTTCTATTTTTAGACGGAAGGTTTTCATCTATTTTCAGACCTTGCGTTGTTGTTTTTTCAAAGGTCACTACATGATGTGTTGGAGTGGATTTTTAATTTAACATCTGTTGATCAAAGTGAAGAAAAAGGAAAATCCAGAGCATGAATTTCTCTTCTGTGATAAAACCCGAACCCGGCCTATTCTGAGATTTAGATTACCACTGGTTAATTCACTTTTTAGGTACTCTCCCGAAGAGTTTGGTTAAATTTGTTTTCTGTTGTGTATTTTATTTGATTTAGTCTTTCTCTTCTTTAGGGGGTTTTTCCTGCTCAAACAGAAAAAGTGCATGAAGACACTTTGGAGCCAAGATGGAGGCCTGGCCAGCAGTGGCCTGGATGCTTCTAATGACCAGCATTGCTGACTGGCTGAAAACTGTCCAATCAAGGGACTTCACCATGACGGACATCATCCTGCTGCATCCCTCAAGTAGGAACAAGCTGTTTTTATAACGAACATTTGATGGTCAGTCTCGCTGTTGGAACCGACGGCTTTTCTGCGTTGCTCCACACTCAAACATCGCCACAACTGTTGGTTGCCATGACAACTTTCACAGTTACCAATCTCCTCCCCAAGTACTGCCCCTCCACTTCACTTTTAGTTTCAAAATAAAGTATAATTTTTCAGTTTTCATGTCGGCCTGTTAGCACGTACACGCACAAAGGCCAGAAATACACGCTCATGCTCAAACAGGGAATAATGACATAATGTGGGGGGGAGGGGCTGCACATGTAACAGAGCCCGAGCGGTTTGGGGTTTTGGTCTCTCCAGCAACCAGACCAAATTCCATACTTTGGTTCATACCCAAAAAAACTCAACACACTCAAATAAAGCTTACTCTGTCCTCCACAGCTACACCTCATCCTGGTGGCTTCAAGTGCTTCACATGTGAAGACGCTGCAGATAACTACGAGTGTAATCGCTGGGCCCCGGATGTTTACTGTCCTAAAGGTACATCTTTGTTTCTTTGACTCGTTGTGTACAGCTAGCTTGAGCTAATAAAAATGTGGACGATACCAAATCCCACCCACCAAATTGTGTCAGTGTGAGGGCTGGCATTGAAGCGTCAATCACAATGCAGTTATTGCGTTAATTTTGTCCCTTTTGGTCCACCGTAGATAGTTGAGTCTCCCAGCAGTCGCAATGATGAAAAAGAATGACCACGCTTGTGCCTTTAAACGGCCCCTTTCACTTAAAAAAAAAAAAACAATTTCCAGATTGCTTACTTTATAAGTCAAATGAAATATCCAACTTGTGACATCAAATTACTAATTAATGTTGTAACCATCTTCCTGATCTTCCTGTAAGTTATTCGTTTTATTTTGAAATAAAATGAAATCAGGTTTTCACCCAAACGGGAAGTAAAGTACCCTTCTCATAAGCCACAAGAAAAATGTCATATAAAAGCAGAACAAATTGTTTGAAATTCCAATATTTCACATTTAAAAATAAACTTTTATTTTGAAATGAAGTAAGGAGCTTCTGGTAGGTCGAGGGGTTAAAACATTAACTTAACAAACAAAAGGAACTTGTTATGGATCATAAAATTGCTGTCATGAGGAGGAGATGTACTTTTTAATGACTGTCTGAGACATTCAAAGATGCAGCAGTGTCGTTCTTTTCCATCACTGCGACTATAGGGAGACACTGCAGAGGCTCATACATGATACGCAGATCTCATAGGATTAATAGCAATTTATAAAATGAATGCATTAATTTCAGACCTTAATGAACTAGTTACTGCTGACAGCCTTAGTAGGAAGTATAATGTTGAACAATTTAAGACATGATTTGTCTTCCAGATGCCAAATACTGTTACACTCGACATACGATGGATACAAATGGAGAGAGTGTGTCTGTGACCAAGAGGTGTGCGACGTCTCAGGACTGTCTGTACTCCGGCTGTGATGACGTTCCCGATAGCGCCGAGCGAGTAAGTAAAGCCTGACGATAAAGTAACAGATTATTTCATCCAATCGGGACATCTCCTCAACATTCGTATCTCCTCTGTCAGGTGTGTTCGTCCTGCTGTGAGGGAAACATCTGTAACGTTTTGGTGCCGAGGAATCAGAGCAGCGCCGTTTTCTCCTCCACTTCTCACCTGGTCAGCTCCGGCAGACGACTTTTACCCACAATGCTGAGCTGCGTCATCATTAGCCACAGCATTTTCGCAGCTGTTTAAGGGGGGAAATTCTGCATTTTCATCAAAACACAACTACAACAACAAAAAAAAAAAAGACAGTATTTTGGGGTAAATTAGAAAAATGGTCACGTTAACTAAATGCGGGGTTGTTAAGATCAGTGGTCCTCAACGAGTCTAGGCTCAGAACCAACCACCACCTCCTTCAGGAAAAATAGTCACTCAAATTTCTGATATTTCACAACCAATCAGATGAAAATACTGAAAATTGTGCAGTTTTGACCTCAGATGGTACAAAACTGAATTTAACAAACAGTCTGTGGACCATATTTCCCCCCCCAGGCGACCCACTTTTGGGCCCCGACCCACCAGTTGAGAACCACTGGTTTAGATCATTTTTTTTTAGATCATTCATTCGGGTTGTCCCTATGGGGGGGGGGGGGGGGGGCGCAAATAATCTCAGGGAAGTCCTTAGACTCTGTCTGCTCTGAGGTTGTCAGCTTTTCTTACATAGAAGTAAATGGAGTCGGGGCTCCAAGGAGAAAGAGGTTGGGAACCACATTTGGTTTTGAAGCCTATTATCGCTGCGACACATACTTCTTCCTGTTGGATTATATTTACATTTTCATGCATTTTTTGTATTTAAGTTAAGTGTCAGTATTGTTGAGTGGATGATAACTTTTTAAACATGTCACTGAGTATTTCTGGAGTTTCTTTTACCTACTATAAAGCATGTAGCTGTATATTTGATTATTTATAAGCATGTGTACGTCTTTGAAAATAAACACCCATGTGTGAAGAACAAGGCTGTGGTGGCCAAAAACAGCATCATCAGCGGTCTGAGAAGTCTCTTTATTGGTTCAGCAGTTCTGAATGTCACAACTGACAACAGCGTCCGGTTTTCTTTAGGTTTTTTTTGTGAAAAAAAAAAAAAAGAACAGTACTGTGCATGTTTGTGTGGAAGTTCAGGAGTCTGACATGACTCGGCTAGAATCACAAGTAGGTGATGAGTTCAGGAAGTTTTCACATTAGCTTCTAAGAGCTGCCTGAGGTTTCCATTTCGCACCGTTTGTAGTCGTATTTAAACCATGTCGCTTGTCTTAGGTCTTTATTTTGACATTTCACATTTCTCTGCGTCTCTTGATGGAGAGTTCCTCCCCTGCGTGTAGTGCAGGTTGTCTGGTTGTCGTTCGACCTCATGTCAGTCAGGCACATAAAAAAAAAAAACGAGGTCAAGCCTTTGTTACAGTAAGACAAACGTCACACAACCTTTCACCGACACAAGCACACGTCAAGTCCCAAAGCGTCTTCAAACTATAAATAGAGGCCTTACGTTTGAATAAGGTTTAGTGGAATATATATAAATATATCTTTTAAAAAAAAAAACTATTCCTCCTCATCAAGTACATTAGAAAGTCCTTGCAGTCTTGCGATAGCAGCGCTGTGAGTAGGTGCGTTGGTGAAAACGGTCCCCACAAACAAAGGCGTTCCTCTCAGGATGTGGTGGATGACCGTGCAGGAGCCCGACGCTTGGATGTGGAAGCCTAAATGTCTCAACTCTTCTTCTGTTTGCAGGGTGGTTTGACTTGGAGAGGCAAAGAACTGTTGAGGAAAAGCAAAAATATGACTTCAGAAATCAGACGTCGTTCTTAAAAAAAAAAAAAAAAGGGAGAATGTGCAACTTTCTGATCCAGCAGGCGACGCCCTCGAGCGCCAGAATGAAACCAAAACAAACTGTTGCTTCGCGACACCTCCGCCATAGTTTAGCCTCCGCTCTCCTCCAGCGACACACCTCCACTTCCATTAGAACGAAGGAGTGTGCTAAGTAACTAACATTAGACACATAATGCTACCTAACGATAGTAGCAGGATCACAAAGGGACAAAAAGCCCCAAAAATAAATCTTTATTTATTTTTATTTTTTAAGGCTGTGAAATTTTGCTGAAGTTCACACGATATTTGATGATCAGGATTCGGAGACGTCTGCTCTTTTGTTCCTTCAACGGACACTTGAAAACTAAAAATAAGTATTGTACTGTATATAAACAGGTATCCGTGTGTAACTGCAGATTCTGTATGCATTTGGTAAGATTTTGTTTTCACTCGTGTTCTGATGTTTTGTAGTCCAAAAGAGGGAGAACTACAAATGGATACCAGACGGCTTCAGACACCATGAATCGTGTCTTTCTTGACCTAGATATTCTGCATTTATATGAAAGTATACCTCAGCATTATTTCACATTCAATATGATTTTTTTGATCCTCTTGCTGCGTCACGTTACATAATAGAAAATGAAGAAGACCCTCGACATGAGCTGAAAGAAGGCCCACCGCTGCAGAGACTTTCTACAAACAGAGAGGGGACTCACAGCTTCTCCTGTCGTCGGGTCGATGAAGTCTGCCCAGTATCCTGCGGTCCACAGAGCGAAGCACATCTCCTTGGCGCCGCTCACAAACTGCAACGAGGAGAAGACGCCGTCAGCGGCCGTTTCAAAAACATCGCTCCAAAAGAAGTTAAAAGGAACGACGAAAGCAAAGAGAAAAGGAGGGGGCTCACTTTGTTTAGCAGCTTGTCTCTGTCCTGCTTCTCCGCCTCCTCACACCGACCGCTCTTCTGCGTCACCGTCACCACTGTGATCGAAGAGGTGGGCGCTGAAGGGAAGAGCAGCTCCAGATCTGAAACGCGGGCGAAGATTTGTTAAACATAACGATTGTGGTTAAGTCTGGTTTCATGAAGAACGACCTTTACTAACCTTTCTTTAACAGCTCAGGACAGGAGTTTATGGAGCAGTCTGTGCTTGTTTGATTAAAATACTGTTCAGCTTTGTGGACTCTGGTGGATATAGGACCAAGTTTTCCCTGAAAGCGAGATAAACAGACACGCCTACACGTTAAAAAGAAGCTCTGAGGCCACGTTTGGTTGAGATACAAACATCTCAGCGTTGTCAGGAGAAAAGAAAAAAAAAAAAACATACATGGAATTCATGAACAAACTGGGCGAGGATGAACTGCTGTCTCTCCGCGCTGCACGGGGCGGTCAACACGTCCGGCACCGTCCTGTGGACTGGAGTCTTCTTTTGGTCCGCCACGCCCTCCAAGTGACAGTCGAAGCCGGCGTTACCCGGTAACTGAAAGCGCTGGTCCTGAGGTCCGAATGGTCCATGTTCTCATCGGGCCACACTGTCCTCGGCCCTGAGGAGAGGGGTGGGGGGGGGGGGGAGGGGGGGGGGGACACAACAGGTAAAGACTTTTTTCTTAGATAGATTACAGACTACATTTACCTTCTACTATTTACAGATAGAGTCAGTCGCTTTTTCTTCAAAAATAAAATATAGTAATGCATGTTTGGGGCTTTCCATACATGTGTGGTGGTGACTGTGTCTGTCCTCTGCCTGTATTTGATGTTTTGGTTGACACAGGACGGTCCTGGGTGGGGGGGGGGGGATGTGTTTCCCCCCTCCAGCCAGGACAGCAAAACAGTTGAGTACGCAAGTGGATACAATTCAGCAATTGGACGCAATTCAAACCGGGGAATATGTCGGACGTGGACGTAGCGGCAAAGAGGAGGAAACGGAACCATAGTGAACCAAACCAAGCGGATAAAGCTCGTTCTAAAACGCGGGAGGGCCTCGGGGGTTCTGCTTTCATCCGCAACATACATATGCGACTGACTCTACCTTTTTTTCGTTTTTGTTTCACCGCCTCACCTGAGTCGGCGTGTGAAACGCTGATGTACGGCTCGTCTGAGCTCGCCGCAGAGAAGGTTCTGGTCCGGCACACGCGGAGAGCGACCAACGCTTGATGTCCAGCAGTCTGAGAAAGCACCATCCTGCCCCGACCACACAGCACCTACATGAGAGAGCGAGAGAGGCATCTGTCAACAACCAGCGACTCCATCAAGTCTCGCACAAAGAGCAGGAGCAGTATTTGACTCCTCCTCCTCCTCCTCCTCCTCCTCCTCATAGTGGAGAGTAAGCCTGCAGCTGTGTGTGACTTCATGCTGTAGGTTGAGCACCATAACAAAAGGACTTTAAGCCGATGGGAGAAAGTCTACCTCATGGGGAAACAAGCACACTTTGGACAGCACATTTTAAGTTTAATCTAATGTTTAATTCTTTTGAGGGATTTCTCAAAACATCTCACAAAAAGTGACATTTTGAGAAATGGTGAAAAGCTTCAGGGCACAAACACAGCTAACGATGTAAACACAACAACACAGACTAACAAATACAGTCAAGAAAAACTAGTTTGTTAACTGGACATTTATGTATTTTCCACACATCTTTAACCACAAACACTTATATCATACATGAAGTGTTACATCACTTACACTGCTGGACATTGTGGCTCGTCTTCGTCTCCTACTTACTGAATCTGTTTGATAAAAATTGCACAATTTGTAGAACAGAGTTGTTTTAAAAGGTAAATAACAAGCTTGCGCAGGTGAGCTAACTTTTAACCTAGCTCAGTGATTCGACATGATGCAATGACTTCACGTTTCACGAAACTTGGGCTTACAGAATCAGCTTGTGTCGCCTCGACCACAGATTTAAACAACACCAGAGGACTTGTGGTCAACAAACTGTGTTGTGTTGAATGCAAACAAGCTGCTGCTGCTGCTTCGCGTTAGCGCTGAGGTAACCCGTAAGGTCAGCTGATATCTTGTTATGACACTTTCCTCTTTTTAGCCCGTAAAGTACACTTTCTCAACCGGAAACGACCTCAAACAGATCAAATGGCAGAGTGGACAAAGGCCTTTTCTATATTCTTTGTAAGAAGATCGCAAATATTCGTGTTCTTATGAGGTGGCATTGTGAAAAGTACATCTTGTTCTTACCTGCCAACTTGCACGTCCGCTACTATTAGAGGCTTTCGCTAAACAACCACGGGAAGTGACGATGGACACACCACGCATGCGCAGTTGCGTTACAGTTACGTCACCGAGCTATTGGTCTATTATGAGAAAAAGAGGATTTCGACGCTTCATTCGTCTATCTTTTTAATTATTTCTGTGTGCTTTTCTGGGGGATGAATCAATATTTGAACACAGCAGGATTTGAAGCGCAGTAATGTCATAATCCGTGTTTTCCCATTTTTCACCACAAGGTGGCAGCAGAACCGCATTTATAACAGGACTGTGGACCGGCTACCACAGCAGTTCTGGCCCTATCTGACTGCAGCATCAGAGTTCACAATTATTAATACTTTTCACCTTTAACTTATTGATTATCATGATGTTGAGTTAAATGCTTTATTATTTCCTTTATGTGCTGGCCTATGTGTATGTCGCGTGTCCATTAACAGATGGAAAATACTGAATATCCTTCTTATAGATAAATAAAGTAGCCTATGTCTTCTTCTTCTTCTTCTTCTTCATTCTATTAAGTGAGTTAA